ATTGAAAAAGTTAAATAAAACCAAAAAAAAGGAGCCGGCAAAGAGGCCACCTTAACACCAAAAAAAAAAAAAAAAAAGATTTAAACCTCTAATAAATTAAAGGCCTGAAAAAAAGCTTAAAGTTCACAAAGCAAATCACACCTAGGTATAAGCTAGATATGTCTTTTTTTAGTAGTTTAGTATAATATAAAAAAGTCTTGTAATTTTTCAAGTAACTTAAACTCAATAAATAAAGACAAGATAGCTAAATTATAAAAAAAAAATAAAAAAAAATAAAAAAATAAAAAAATTATATAAAAAGTTAGATTAAAATCTATAATTTATTTAACTATTTTGCTTAGTTGCTAAATTACTTTTAAATTTTTAATTTAATAATTTTAATAATTTATAACATTGAATTAATAAATTTACCAATTTTTGATTTTAATGCTATTGAGATCAAAAATAAAAAATATATTTTGGTTTTGGTTATTATTCCAATTAAAATAGAAATCTAGATTTCCAAACTCAATTACAATAAGACTATCATTCAAAAAAGGTTAAGTCCCAACCCTAACTTCTTTATTCTTTTCTTTGTCTTGATTTCTTTTTTCTTCTCTATCTTTTCTTAAAAATTCAACCATTTCATCACCCCATTTTACGAGAATTCGATTTTGAGATTGTAAAATAGTATGATTATTAACAAGATCGGAGGTACTTGACTGCAATCTCCTAAGTACAAATTCGAATATTCAAGAAAATTGGATATCAATAATTAGGATTAGTTTATTTAAACGGTGTAGGTTCAAAAGTCGACGACAACGAGAACAAAATAAAGCTGATAGCATATTGCAATCAAAAATAGGCGCGTATGGATCCATTTTCTGTCAACGTGGAGTGTCTTCGAAAAGTTATTAATTAACAAATAGTTTTTACAACTTTGGTAGACTGCTATATATTTTAATATAAAATTATTTTAGTCCCTGCTATTAAAGATGGTTTTCGGACGTCCTAAAAATTTTTGAGCTTACTCTAAAATGCTCCAAATTTCTGAAAAATATTCTAAAATTTAGGAATAAATACGGAATTGGTTTTTTTTTGGTTTTCGGACGTGATTAATATTAAGCGACAATTTTCGGAGTAGCTATCCGAAAAAATCCTATAAAATTCCGAAATTCGGTGTTTGAAGTATACACTAATACATGTGGGTGTCTACTATTCAGGGGAGCCTTGTATACTCTGACTACATTGACTATTATACATAATAGCCAATCAAAATCGAGAGTCTTCAGTGACGGAACGTCGTCATCACGCACATGATTAAATATTCGGCCTAAATTAGGTTTAGTGTTGGGGTCAGGTGATAATATAGTTTAGGCCGATTTGATAGTGTTAGTAAACAAATTACATCATTGCATTGTTTCACGTGATGTGATTATCACTGGGTTAACTATTCTTCAAGTGTCCCAAAAACCGCATTACCGCAGGATTAGGATATTTTTCAGGAAAATACAATGTAGGTAGAGCGCACATTTTTTTCGTAAAATAAAGAATTAATAATTATTTTATAGGGGTCGTTATGTCCAACTTGTAATGGGGCCTGCAGGCTCAGGGAAGGTTAGAAGGAACGAGTTTCTTGACGCTAAGCGGCTCTTTCAGATTTTTGAATTGACCGCTGTTTCCTTAATCTTAAACATTATACGCGGTAGTCTACTTATTGCGCTACAATGATGACATACTGCCAAAACATAGGTCGTTCTGTACACTTATTTAACCTTGATCCCGCAGCCGAAAAGTTTGAGTATGATCCTACGATAGGTATTATTAAATCTTTGTTGAATTTATTGTTGATAAATTAGATCAAAAAACCTCTAATACATTTGTCATTATGTAAATTTAGACATTCGAGATCTTATCACTTTAGAAGATGTCATGGAAGAATTACAGTATGGACCTAATGGAGGGTTAATATATTGTCTCGAGTACGTTTAATTATCGAAAATTTTTAATCAGCATTAATATTTACACTTACATTCATAATGGTTAAATTATAAGATTTTTACTAAATAATATGGATTGGTTGGAAGAAGAATTGGGTGAATATGAGGATGATTATTTGATTATCGACTGTCCAGGTATTTATTAATGATAGTAGGCTCATAATATATTTCATTTATTAGATTTGATGCTCAAATTGTTCATTTGCGACTCGCTTTTCTAATGATAAGGTCAGATTGAGCTGTACACACATTTTCCAATTATGCGCCGTATTTGTGAATGTTTGCAAAGGATGCATTTTCGTATTTGCGGAGTTTATTTGTTGGAAAGTCAATTTATACAGGATAATTCGAAATTTTTTGCTGGAGTCATGAGCGCAATGTCAGCAATGGTTAGTTTAGAAATACCACATATAAATGTTCTGTCAAAAATGGATTTGTTAGGAAAAGTCAGAAAGAGGGAGTTAGAAAGGCGAGCGCAAATTATTGTCTCTTGTAGATATGTATATTACCTTAACTATTATTTTAATTAATACTATTAATTTTTATTTTTAGGTATTTCGATCCAGATCCTTTGTTGTTAGCTGATGAAGCAAATACAACAATGAACCCGAAGTACCACGATTTGAATAGAGCAATTGTACAATTGGTAAATTTCATCAGGAAATTCAGTATATAATGTTAAACTGTAATTAACTTAATTTATTTGTAGATTGATGATTATAACATGGTTAGTTTTCTTCCGTTAAATATAAATGATGAAGATTCTATAACAGCTGTGATGTCTCACGTGGATAATGCGTTGCAATTTGGTGAGGATCAAGAACCGAAAGAACCCAAGGTAACGTTAGCAATAATCATGATATTTTATTATCCTGATATAATGATTGGAGTAAATCAACCAAATTTTGAATATAAATTAACAAACTTGACCTATTTACTAATTTTAGGATGAATTTGATATTGAGTATGATGACTAGCTTAGTGCATACTAGAATCAGGATTTCTACTTTATTGGATAATAACCAAAACCAAATATATGTCCCATTTTCGGTCAATAGTATCAAATTTAAAACCGGTCAATTAAATCAACGCTATAAATTATTAAATATCGTTTTCATTTTCAAATTAAAGGTTTAAGAGTGACTTAGTGACTAAACAGAATTGTTAAATAAATACCAGGAACGTAATAATGAAATTACGAAGTGTATGGTTATCAAACAACTAGAATGGCAAGTGCGCAAATCCGGTGTTTTGATTGGCCGGTGATCACGGATATAAAACGTGAATGAATTTGCACGTGGCTATACTTATTTGTGCCGGTAATACAAACTTCTAAAAAGGAAATGGCCAATAAACAAAATTGATTTTATTGATAAATTCGAAGGTTTTTTAAAACTTCTAACGATGATTTCTCAATAATTACTTGATTAAATTTAGTAAAAATTTTTTTATTTTAATTTAGTAATTCTGTAGAATCAAAAAAAAAAAGTTCATTGAATTTGATTTAGTAGTTGTTGAAAAATCATTACTAAAAGTTTTAAAAACAAATATCTTAGAAAAAAAAATCAAAATTAGGTAAATTTTTTTTTTTTTAACTTTAAATGAAGATTTCTTGACAACCAACTATTCAAATTTGATGAAAATTTTTTATTTTAATTCTGGGATTCATAGGCAAAAACATTGTTTTTGACCGTTTGCCCTATTTTTATTGACCCACCTTAAAAAAAAAAAATATATATATCGTTTTTGACCTGTGTTATACAAACATATTACTTGTTTTGCTGATTCATTTGAACAACAAAAAAAGAATATCAATGTATTTCATTTTAACAATATGTATTAAGCGCAAATATTTTTATTAATATATTGTAAATAATATAATGCACCAAAATATAAGAAATTATACAGTATTTCAAATTTGTTAAAAAATCTAAATGCAATATTTAATTTTCATTCTGCATTATAAACTAGTATTCCAAAGTTCAGTTCAGTTCAATTTAGGTTCAGGTTCAAGTTCAATTGAACCTGAACTGAACTTTAAATTTTGCAG